TTCTCTGAGGGAAATATCGCCGAATCCCCCGAGCGTAGGGGGATATGTCAGATACAGATCGGCCGCTCATGTTTTATCTAGTATACATATAGTCTTTGGGCAGTTCAAAACTTTTATTAAGTTGCTATGTTATTTAGAGTTTTGAATTTGCTGATGCAATTTCTTCAAGTATATTATTAATTTGGAAAAAAGTCTACTCGTCCTTCGGGCTCATGTAATAGAGTGTGATCGTCTTTCAAGAGTCACTTGTGCATGTTTTTTCAAGTTGCACTCGAAACCATGCTATTAATTATTAATTATTAGGAATGCTAAAAGTGCATTATGACCGCAACAGCCTATAGTGACTGGACACACGGATTGATAAGCATTTTAACCAAAATCTTACTGACCGAGTCCAATGAACGTAAACAGCCAAGACTGGAGGGAAATAAAAACTTTATAAATAGTTCGGTTTATAATACAATGAACTGTCTCATATAAATTCGGTTGACCAAGCAATTGTTAACAATATGTTACCTGCACGCAGACAATATTAGACTGGTTGAAACAACTTGTTGCGAGTCAGTTGGCGTTACAAGGTGATAACTTATTCCAGACTTCTCAACAGTTGATGAAACCCTACAGATATGAACATGGAGGTGCCATGCATCAGTCAATCTGTGTTAGGCAATACAACGTCATAATTGCGTGAGGAAACTTCTAAGAAATTTCGAATTTGGAATTTCATTCACAAGTGCATTGCTAAAATTAATAGAATTGAACCTTGACATCTAGTTTCAAAATTGCGGTGCCCAAACGAAGTTTCGCTTTCAAAAATATTCGCTGCTTGAGTTTGTGAATGTGTGTCAGTTTGTTCGGTGTATGACTTGGTATATATTTATTCAGAAATAGTATATGTCTTCTCGCTTGTGGTGTTCTTATTTTCTCAAAGTATATGCCCAGGCAGCGCAACGCAATGTAGTTATACTGTATATGTCTGGGTTTTCGTCAGCCTGTCGAAATTAGCTGTGTTGAAATTAATTAGCCTTTCTCACGATGACGAATATCCGCCATTTTTGCGTGGCATATTTGTGAACGAATGCAGACAATTAAAACAATGTGAAAAGCAATTTTTCAAAATAAACTAACCATTTACAAAGCAAATTTACCATCATTTGTCCAAAAAATTATAAAAAGTCGCTATTATGTGGACTTATCTCGCAGACTTCGGCTGAAATGCCACCCAAAAATGGCGGCATGAGAAAGGCTAATTGCCTTCATGAAAAATATCCAAGAATGAATAAGGAAGGAAGCACATCAGGGCCAGGGGAGGGATAAGGTTTTGGGGAAGATTTAAGATTAAGATTTTCGTGCCGATATTTGAAAGGGTCGACTATTTTTGGAATTTTCCTTTAATCTTCATGACATTTTAGAGAGGTTCAGATTTGTCTTCCACTCTCGCTACCATTAAGGGACCATCGACCAATTAGATGCGTTTCATATATTCGATTAACCAATCATATGCCGACTAAGCAGTAATTAATAACTGGCTCTCTGAGAAATATATTTGGCAAGTATTTACTGGGCAACAAAACACAGCGATACATTTTTGAAATTTTATTTGAAACGAATATATATATATATATATATATATATATATATATATATATATATATATATATATATATATATATATATATATATATATACTGGAATCACATCTCAAAATAGAATGATTATAAGAGCGCAAAAAATCTACATGTCTGAAAGAAAAAATGTAAGAAATTCTTAAAATTAACATACGTGCAATGATCATTAATTATATAATGCTTACAACTAAGAAATATGAAAATAGCTATGCCCGCGTTTGTATTTTAAGGGACAAATTAATCGGTTCAAACCCAATATATTTGAAAAAGCATGGTCAACATTCCAAAACTTGCCACCATGATATTTGCAGGGATAACAATACTCCCATGATCAGTCGGTGTTGTACGTGTGGTAGGTTGAGTTGTATATATAGGCATTTCATTTGTTCCCTCCGTACATTTCAAGGGATTACATTCATCGCCTTTAATTATGAAGGAAGCCAAGTTGGTGTGGGAAGTTACCGACACATAGATTTGTTGTGTGTGCTCGTCTTTGGCTGACCGTTTCACCTTTGTATTTGGTACAGGCGTGCGCGCTGAAACAACGATGAGTTTGTTCTTTTGCTGCGAAAAGTCGAAGGAAATGTCATAGTCGTACTGATAAGGGTGAGGATTGGTGCGAGAGACGTAAACAAGCGTGCTGCCAGTTAAATCGATTACATTGATCTCGAGATTTGATGTTTTGCTTACTTTGTAGCTGAAATACTTGTACGAATTCTTTACTACACTTGTAATGATTGCCTCGTCAAGTTGTGCAGGACGGGGTTCATAACAAGTTGACGACGTGATCGTGGAAATAAATATGTCAAGTTCGGAAAAGGTAGATAGGGTGTAAACGTGCGAGTCAGAAGATGCAATGTCTTGAAGCTGCCTAAGATTATAATTGTCGATTCCAATTGCATAAATAACGATGTTTTCATCTCTTATATTCTTTGCTGGAATTGAAACACTACCGTACGATAGACCGTCGTTAGAACAATCAAAACACGAGGTAAGCCATCCTTTTCAGGACGCAAACCTCGTTTTTCGGTGAATTGATCGGTTAATACCTGTACCAGAGCGAAAGCAAGATTGGTACTGCTTCCACCTGTGTACGAAACGCGACCAATTGCGTAAAGATAGCTTGACTGCTTGGTATAGCTTGACAAATAGAATTGTGATCTGTAAATGTTATTGAATGTAGACAAACCAAATCTAGTGCTATATTTCCCAGTGAGTTTCTGGTCGGGAAATGCTTTTATCATGTTCTTCACAAAATCGAGGCTTTCTTGAAAGTTAGCGAGGGAAACACTGCTAGAGTCATCTATCAAGAAAACAACGTCAACAGCGCGATCGCATTCCAAAAGAGTTGCTTCAATTATGTCCGCTTCGTCGTTTCGTCTTTTCAAATCTTTTCTAGCCTGCTCGTTTGGATTCGTGTAGAAATTTCTCAGTTCATGTATCGCATTATTCCAGTCGTTTTTCTTCACGAAACTCCAGAATATTGAATGAGCCGTATCAGAGCCGAACTGATACCAAACGCTGACGATAGCTGTGCGAATACCGCGAGGAACTGATGTGAACGCCAGCGCGTTCTCGTCTTTATCTCTGTCGTATCTTTTTGAAACTGTATTAACCACATCGTTTTTAACAGCATCAGTTAAAGTGTTAGCTTCCCCTAGCGTTAGGCGTAAAGGACGTTCAATCGCAGTACAAGCAGCGAGATTTCGTTTCAAACCAAAGTAAGGGTCAAGCTTGTCAACAAGTACGCTTGGCAATGACGTGAAAGACACCCATGACTTGCTTCCTAGATCAACACCAGCTCCAATCGTAACGCCATTTTCTTCAAGGACTTCACCAGATTTTGGATCGATTGGGACGTATCCACACAAAGTAAAACTTTCGTGACAATTCAGGAATTTCTGGTAAATGATTGGGATAGATGTTTCGCTGCCTTGTGGTATTCCAGACTTCCAGGAAGATGGGCAGTCCAGCTGCTCAAGATTGCAAGTAGTTGGAACTCGATGTTCACCAATATAATATGGTGGTCGATAATAACTTGCGCAGTTGCGCGTTCCGGCAAAGACCGTGCCAAGCACAGATACATGAAGAATCAGAAAGCTCACAAACATTTTAACTAAAATCTCACACACTAAAGTGCGGAAATGTAGCAAACACTTTTTCGTGAAATAAAAGGCTTTGCAAATAGCACAACTTATAATACGACCCTCCCAAATATATTCGATTGACCAATCAGAACAACTGTAATTTCAATAGACATTGTGAGCAATTCCTAGTATCCAGAAAGAGAAAATGAAACATGAACAATGATTACGTGTCTTTAATTATATCTGTATGTTCACAAATGCTATTAATATATCGTGAAGGTTTTTTCAACATCATTATTTTATAACATTCACTGCAGACTATAGTTTAACGTTATAGTAGCGACATATTTTTATTGATCTCGAAAATCAACGAAATTCCAAAACATGTATTCGGATCGTCTCCCGCATATCGCTTAAACGTCGTGATATTCTACAGGGAATGCAGGCGACTTTGGTGAAACTCTGCACGACTTGAAAACATGACGAATTATAAAATGTAAAAAAAGCAAAACTTCGAGAAGCACCATGCATGTTCAGTAAGCTGTTGGCGACATAACTGGATAAGAAAAATTGATTCATTTCGAATTCGTAAGCCTGAAAATAATGTTAGTGCACATACAGGCGAGATTGTATTCTGACATTTTCAGCAAAAGATCAGTACCAGAAGCTTTAGAAGACCGCTGTATGAGGGATATATATAAGAGGGATCTATTTGGAACTATTTCTTTTAATAATATGTAGTAAAGTGATTATTCTCACTGTGTTTTGTTTGTGAATTGTGATACAGCGATTAATAATGGACCGTTTGCATTATAGACTAAACTTTGATCTGAACAAGTCTAGACAAAAATTTCATCACAGCTTGAAAGAGCATCACAAAATTAGTGATATTCAGCATATTTACAAGCCTAAAGTGTAATTCGGTTTAGTGATAATTATTGCATTCAAAAATTTAAGCAATGCAAATAAATAAATTATAATTATCCAATCATCAAATAGTCCAATAAATTATCGTTAAATCATTAAATAGTCATTCACGAGATTGTCATCTCGCTTTAGGTTTCTATATCTATAGCTTTCTTTCGGTTCATGGCCAAAATTTTAAGCATATAACTGTTTTTAGTATACTTGACTGCGTTACATATTAATCTTTGTGTCCAACAAACACAGCCTACCTACATTTTTGAAATATTTCTTTAAATGGTCATGGTTTTAATAGAATAATAGGGCATACTATAATCATATCTATTTGATATAAACTGTTAAGGGAATATTTGAACCGCTGCATGCCAGGTCAAAAATATGCTATACTGTACTTTCTGATCTGATGAGCCCTTATGCTTTTCTAGGTTTAACAATACCATACTTACCATTGTACCTAATAAATAGGTTAACTAACAAAACTTCTAACACAACCAATATCCTTTTTTTTTCTTTTTTTTTTCTGTGTTGGTGTAGTATTCCAAAGGTCGTAGGTCGTAGGTAGTACGGTTTTTTCTGTGTTGGTGTAGTATTCCAAAGGTCGTAGGTCGTAGGTAGGCTAGTATTCCAAAGGTCGTAGGTTCGAATCCCACCGTGGCCGGGCATATTTTCCAAGCTCGCCCGGTGTGGATATACACTCAGAGTAACACCACAAATAACAACCAATATCACTGAAATTAATCAGAGCGGTAAACGCATAACCGACGACCATACAATTGCAAATACATTAAATGAGTACTTCGGTGAAGTTGGACTTCTATCTCAAAGTTTGGAATCACCTGAGTCGTATTTAGTTCGCTGCAAATCTCATTTTCAAATTCAAAACGTCACTATACAAGAGGTTTTTAAACTCCTTTCAGAAGTCAAAACGACGAAATCAATGGGGCTCGATGGAATTCCGAATAAATTATTGAAGGACGCAGCTGACATTATATTTATAGCTCCCTCATTGACACGTATATATTTAACGCATCAATTGACCATTTGCGTAATAGACTGAATTTTGATCTCAACAAAAATTTCATCATAGCTTGAAAGAGCATCACAAAATTAGTAATATTCCAAAGTTTTGTTGCGAAATGTTGTAATATGTGGAAAATATAGCCTTGCGAAGTTTGCAATTTTCAGTCATTTTAGATTACAAACGGGAAATTGACAG